GAATGTAGGACAAATATGAAATAACATGTAGAGTAGTGGCAGAGGTGGATCTAGAAAATGATCAGGGTGGAAGTGGGCGATTGCCCCCACCGCCCCCTCCCTTAGGTAGGTATGTGGCAAAGGGCAATCGTGGGACAGAGTGCGATGTGGAGGGACTGTCACGATTGGAGGCAACTGTGGTGTTGACAAAGTTATTCAACTAGGGGCAGACTCAGCAGGGAATGGAGATCACAGACAACAGGTGACCACCCACAGAGTGGAGTTCATTTGTGGTGCTGACATAAATCCCAGCGTCCTTGAACAGAATGTACAGAAGAAGAGACCAACATGTGAGAAAAGAGTTGTGCGAGGGCGAATCAATGAAGGATTTTAAATACAGTGTGGGTGATCTTTGTTATATCAATCCGTGATTGGATAGCGAACCAGTTGAGAATTATCTGGATTGGTGTAACGTGTCCTCACACAACAGCAGGGACAAATCTTGTACAGATTACATGCAGGCCAGCAATTTCAGTGCCTCTTACACAAAAGCTTTATGCTTATGAATTGAAAATATTCCATTTTCAGAAGTCATTACACTCTTCCAGCATAACATGAATCCTTGCCTATGCTATCCAATGTAAACAAGATATCCAGCTTACGCTAAAAAACAACTATAACAGTTTGTGCGATGGGGGAAATAAATGCAATAACTTATTCACTGTCATACACGAGGGTGATTAATGAACTGTTCACAGCGGTGAATTACAGATTTCCAAATCGGGGATTGGAGGGAATTGGATAGCAGACGTCCTTTGTACAAATGGCAGCATACCCGCGTTTGACAAAAATATTCTAACCGAGTATATTTAGCCGAGAAAGAACCTGGCTGAACCCACCGAGATAAAATAAAATATTCACGAGACAGCCCCTTGCACTGCAGAGGCAGTGGCAATACAAAACAAACGTTACATAACAAGTTGTTGTGGATTGTTTTAATGTGAAGTGTGCATGGAAGGAATGTGTAAGGACTGTAGTCCAATATTTTTTTTGTTGCAAACGTGCACGTTGTCATTCAAGTGCCGTATCCCGATAACGGTGCGATATTTAATCCTAAAGCCCATTTGAGAACGGTGTACTAGATAGACAGACCCACAACACATGGACCCATAACACATGGACCTATCCCACAATCTCCTGCCAGAAAGCCCTTGAAACTTCATGTGGCCTCAAAGTGCACCAAGTCTGTCACAGGGAATGTGGAACCATCACCTCTCCAAGTAATGACAGAAGGCAGGTGTTGTTGTTGTGTGTGTTAAATATACTGTGCTCGTATAGTTTATGTGCATATATACGATACGTTTGGGAATCTGGATGAATTGTAAGCATAGAGAGTACACTATCTATGTATTGTTTATGTGTACTCAGACTAATGATAATAATTTATGCCACTTGTTTTATTTATCTTAATCATTTTATCTCGTGGTTAAATGCAGGATGCAACAATCAATCCAACTATGAAAGAAGGCCTCACCACACTCTGTCCATCATGAAAGTCGTTTGACCAATCAGATCTGGCATTGTCGGATCAATCAGCCTCTAGCAATTGTCATGATCGCTGTGACCTTCCACGGAATATGAACCAATTGGACGCCGAGACCCTTTACAAGAGCGATTATTGTTGCCCTCCATTTTCACCTTTCATAATGAGCAGCTACATGCCATTACTGATCCTGCTCCAGGGCCAGATTCCAGCTGCTGAAAATAGAAAGCTGGCACATTTCCCAGGTTACTGTCGCATCAGATGCTGCTACGGTAGTGGCACGGTTGGTGCACTGGGCTTGCAATCTGGAGGTCGCCAGCTCAATCTCCAGGTGCGGCACTTGGAAACAGTGGTGCAAGTTTCTTAAATCCACCCCCCACCACACCCACTCGCCTATGTCCAATACACGACAGATATCATTGACAGGTTACGTGTGTTGGAGTAACGACTGGGTATCCCCACCGATTGCAGTGAGTTCTGACCCTGAATGTTGTCTGGCCAAAACAAAAATCATCCTCAATAAAGGGAATTCTGCCACTGCTCCAGAGCCCCCTCAAGTGGAGCCCCTTCTGCCAGTAGCGACGTGAGCGTGCAATTGCAGGGCTGCACCTTTACCAATTAACTTTACGAGTCCAACAAGCTTGAGAGGGCGCAAGCTCAAACGCACAAATCCAGTCTGCTTCCCTTGAGGCTTCTTCTCAAAGAAGGTTATTTTCGATGACATAACTTTTAGCGGAATGCACTTATTCCACTGCTGCAATTACCTAAGAATAGCACAGCAGCACACACTCGAGGATAAACACTTCACCAAAGTCAATGCAATTGATGCGACTACACCGCAATTTCCCTTCCTTCGGCTGGACCTCCCACAACTGACCTGCAAAGGTATGTTTATAGTGTCCCACCATTTGCACCTCTGATGAGCACGGTTGACTACGTATGGTGCGAACAAGGTTCAATTTACATACTTACCAACTTCTGGGTTCCAATATAATTTATGTTTTCGACAGCCTCTCTTTATCCTGCATACATGCCCCACCCAACACAGCGCTTCTTCATTGCTATACCTACACACGGCTTGGTCACAACTCAAAGACTGAGACCCAGCAATGGTGTTTTCGTCTCCTGTGGAATGAAACACTCATATCGACCCTGTAAAGAGAAATATTCACTTGCAAAGGGCATTGTGCATTCTTGCATTGGATGAAGAGCACCACCTGAAGTTCACAAACATCGGCTGTTCATGTTTTCTCACTTTTTTGTGATGCACGTATGCACTTTTATGGTCAATTGGCACCACTGGCATTGAACATAACGGGCCTCTTGTTTTAAATTATCTCACGAGATCCCTCTTGAGGCTCAAGTCTCATATCCAAGTGGATGCTGTGACCTTGGTTGTTTGGTAATTGCCTTTTTGAATAGTTTTGTGCTTTTATGAGGAAACCAGAGTGCCTGGAGAAATCCCACATATATATATATTTTTTTTTATCACGATTATGTTATCCAGCAACAACCTCACCGAGATTCTTTATCAGGAGGGTCCTGTCAAGTTTTTCACAGGAGGGAGGCAATGCTGCTGCGGATAATCCCATATGAGTAATTTGGAGGCAAATTTTCAGCGTTGGGATGTTTGAATGGGTTAGTTAGGAACGCCATGATGGCAAGATGTTCATACGTTGCCTGGTATACAGGAAGACATAGGTTCGATCTTGACCCTGATGATGCCTGTATATTTGGAGTTTTCATGTTTTCCCCGTGGTCATATGGATTTTGAAAAAGAGCTATACTGTATAGCTCAGTGGGCCTTACTCTGTAAAATAAAAAATAGTTTAGTTTAGATACATACGAGGGGACTCCACTCAAAGTTTCCTCACAGTTCAGTGACCTAGTTGCTGTACTACCTCAGAGGCACCTCGCTGCTGTGCTGTAGGCAAGTGATATCCGCATCATCGGCCCACCCTCCCTCAGGACCAAAGATATACCGAATCTCTGGTGTAAAATAGATAATATTTGCAAAAGCATAAGTTGCGTCGGGGAAATGGGTATTTGAATGTTTGACAAATGATCACAAACTCTTGCAGGCAAACAATTCCTGAATGGTTATCTAGAAATTCAGCAAAGTTTGTGCTTGTGTTTTTATAATAAAGGCCCATCTGCAGATGAGTACAAGAAAATGTTTTATCCAATACTGTATGTACACTGTCGTAGTGACTTTCCATCAAGTCCTGAAGGGGGAAAGCACTTTCAGAGAGTCCGAGTGTCGTGTGTCCCAGTTACGTAAAGACCACTTGCTGCTGGTTTACGCGGTAAACAACTTTCATCTGAATATAGCCACTGACCCGAGAAAAGGGTAGGAAGAAAACAGATTACAGTCGAGCGTGGACGAAATTGAGATGGCAGATACAGAGACAAGTCGGTTATAGGAAGAGCAAATTAGTAATGTCTTCAGCCCGGGTTTGAACAGGTTAGAGGAGGCCACCAGCCCAGATGACCAGGGGAAGGGATTTCCAAACTAAAGGGACAGCCGTTGCGTGAGCAATGCAACAACTGTCCCTTTTAGAACTCTCGTCATTTGCGGGGAAGGGTTTCTAGCTCTGAGGTATAAAACTCCAGGACAAAGCTCAGGAAGAAGAATATCTCACCATAGCGGAATAAATGAGCATTATTATGTTACGGATAAAAACGATGAAAACAGAATCATGAATACAATTGGTATTCGCGCCATTTTTGTGACGCAGACAAGACCACAATACTTTTAGGTAATAACTCCACAGTATTAATCAGGGCGGCCGCTGGCCTCGAACCGTGAAACTCTCCAACACATGATAAGCACGTTACCGCTCGGCCATATCACTGCCCCGGGAAGAGGATGACATTATGAACTAAACTAAACTATTTATTTTACCAGGTAATGCCCACAGAGCTAAATAGCTATTTTTCAGAAGTGACGTGGCCATAAATGAAAGCTCAACGACGGGGCTTATCACGTGCACATTTATAGCAGCCAAATACTCGAAACACAGGTTTATTCTAAATGTTTAGGGAAAAAACCAGAGACCCCGGAGAAAAATCCACATGAACATGCAAACTCCGAATATACAGGTGGGGATCGGACCCACGACCTCCTGTTTACCAGGCCAGGCAGTTAACATCTTGCCACCATGACATTGCAGGACTGCACCTTTGCCTTTCATGAAGTCACGTGCACTGTTTGTAAGTAACCTCGGTGGTTTTGCAGGTGGAACAGATGAGTGGGGCTCGTTTAAATGTGGAGGGAAAAAACCGCAGGACCCGGAGAAAAATCTACACAACCAAGGGGAGAACATGCAAACTCCAAATAAACAAGCGTCAGGGTCTGGATCGAACCCACGACCTCCTGTATAGCTAGGCAAGGTAGTGAACATCTCGCCACTGTGGAACAGCAGAACAGGTGTGCGTGTGTGTGAGGCTGGGTAGGGTATGGATGATGCCCACCCACCTTGGACCACAGCGGCTGGAGCAGGCACACGAGTTCGGCGTCGCACAGTGCACCCTCGTAGCTGCGCTTCGCCACGTGCACCTGGGCACGGTTGCTGAGCAGCAGGTGGTCGTGGGGCACTGCAAATCGTGCGCAGCACAGGCACAGCGGCTCCAGCTCATTCCACGTGTGGCAGCACAACTCCTTGACTGTCGCCTCTCAATGTTACACTCATTGGCTCTAATGTGTTAGTTTGGGGGTCGTACCGCATGCTATTCGGCACGATGTCCAACATTTCTCTCCCTGTGCTGGAGGCGCTTCTGCGGGAATGATATTCAGGAATCGGTAGGTTCCGAAAGAAGCTCGCAACACGTGCAGCGAAACGCCAGACATCATCGGACATCATGCGGAACAAGACACGGTACAGCCCAAAAACAGCAGTAATAACACTTGTGCCTCGCACTGCAAGAAGGGCCTCAATTCGATTCCCGACTCGAACACATTTCTGAGTGGATTTTATAAGTTCACCCATGAGCTTCCTCTGGGTTCCCAGATTTGTATGTTTGTATGTTGGACTAGCCAAATGTCCTAACAAAAACCATAACATTTCATTGGTATTGGCTAAACATCCGAATGCTCAAAAAGTACCTAAAAATTACTAATTAGAGATTGCACATAGCAAAATCTCCCCCGACTGTGAAAACTTGACAGGACTGCTCTAAAACAGTGGTACTCAGTGAGGCTTTACTTGGTAAACAAACACAAACATAAATTACTTGATTATTTCAAGAACTGGGTAAGGCGTATGATTTGTTGCTGTTTGTTGTATCCTTTCCTTAATCAGCAGATGAAATAAACCCATTGATTCCCATGAAACAACATTGGCTCTTGTGCATCGGTGACCTGAATAACATCGACGACAATCAACATGCAATGCCGTTGCGGCATCATTAACGAGAAACACAGGCAGCCAGCGGTTTGTCCACTTGATCACCACTATTGACTTACCATGGTTCAGAATTGTACACACATTTGATACACACACGACACATTGACTGCAATGTTGACCAGTAACATCCGGCCACGTGGTGTTTTGGCAGAGTGCTCAACCCCAAATCGAAACACCACGAGTCAAAATCCCACTTGAGCATCGATTCTGCTAAGCATCCCTGGTGTACCACTTCATTAGACGATAAGTCCTCAGTGATAACAATCAGTGACTCAAATTCTTAAAATGGGACCAGTGAAGTTTTGCAGTTAAGTAAACCACTACTGCCACAAATTCACTTGAAAAGCCTATTTCTATTCTCATGGACCATGAAAATCGGTTAGCAATGGGTAATTAAGAATCAAGTAGTGCTCAGCGATGAGACAACATAGCCATATCTGTCATTAAAACCATACATCAATACACACATGCTCATCCATGCAACGCCATGCTGAATGCCCAACATGTATTACATTTTCTTGGTTCTTTCGGTAAAGTCACGTAGAAGGGAAGTAATAAAATAATAAAAATAAAACATAATAAAATAATTCTCACGACGTTTCGGCCACAACGCAAGCAGCATAATACTTTTTGGGCAAATCCCATTTACGACAGTACTCCCCCCTCAGATGAGCATCAAGCCACTGTGGTATTGGCCTATCAGAATAGGCTCACACATCCGATTAGCACGGTTGGCTACGTACGGTGCAAAATAAATTCAACATACATACATAGCTGACCTCCATGAACGGATTCATTTCCCAAATAGAGTGGTTGATTTCCTGAGTGAACTTAACAGCCAAATGGGTTGCCTCCAGCCAAGGTGGATAACTAATGTGACTTCCCTATCCACTCTCCATCAACCAGCACTGGCCAGCACGGTGAAGTATGGTCATATAACCCTCACAACTGGCAGCGCTGTTGAAGTCTCCACCTAACAATAGATTGACAAACGGCTGTAATTGTTTAAAATTATTATAAAGTACCTTTATAGATACTCTTTGGTTCTTTCGGTAAAGTCACGTATGTATAAGATGAAATAGATCACGACGTTTCGGGCGCAACACAAGCGTCCGTCATCAGGTGCTTTCCCACCTGATGACGGACGCTTGTGTTGCGCCCGAAACGTCGTGATCTATTTTATTTTATTTTCTACCTATGTGACTTTACCGAAAGAACCAAAGAGTATGGATTCCTGCAGTCACGAAAGCTTCAAATCACCTTTATAGATATAAAAAAAAATCTACCTTCCATTTGCACCAGTGAGAACACAGAACAGCATTTAAACAGAGCAAACTACAGCTTTAAATAACCAGATAAGAGCTTAAAATCTGCCACAATGAAGTGAAAACTTTCTACGGAACTTGTATGGGTGAGCTGCAAGGCACAAAGACTCGATGCAATGAACGAGAACTCCATTCCGTCTCTCCACACACACATTAAGTACTGCAGATATAATTATATTTGTTTTATCCATGATGCCCGTGACAGCGCATAATGAGTCTGTTTACGGGATTTATTTTTGCGTGCAATGGGGTCCGAGAAGTTTTAGAGTGGACTCTTGCCAATAACATCTGATCATTCAACAGCAACGCATCGGTCACTGTTCATGAGCAGGTTCTGGGTAAATTGTTGCATCGCAGGATCGTTAGAGGTAGCAGTGGCTTAGGGGAAGGCCTTCATCCAGCAGTGGAATGATCGCGACTGATGATGATTACGAATGTGTTTAACAAAGGAAGTAATTCTCGATTTAAAGCTTTCGTGACTGCAGGGATTCATCATCTTCTTGGTTCTTTCGGTAAAGTCAGGTAGAAGGGAAATAATAAAATAATAAAAATAAAACTTCATTAAATAAAATTCTCACGACGTTTCCGCCACAACGCAAGTAGGTGAAGAACAGGGCTGTCGGAAAGACAGCGTCCGAATGAACACCACCAAGCTTGGCAGCGTATATTTAAGCTGGGTTAGAGGAGGAGAGCGCCTTGACAAAGAAATTTACATATCAACAGAGGAATTTAGCATGTTTATGGAAAATGCAGATATGGGATTAGTCACTACTTGTGGAATGTGTAGGTGGTGGGGGGGGGGTCTCCAAGTCATATTATGCTCGTGTATTATGTAGGATTAGCAAACCACCACGTGGTGGTTTGGCTGCTGCAGCTCCTTACTATTAAAATTTCCCTCCATTTATTACTGCTAATCCTACTTCCTCCCTTTATGACTGCTTGATTGATTGCTTCTGTGAGCAGGTGCCTTTTATACAGGTAAAAGCTGAGATTAGGAGCACTCCCTTTAAAAGTGTGCTCCTAATATCAGCTCGTTACTTGTATAAATAACACCTGGGAGCCAGAAATCTTTCTGATTAAGAGGGGGTCAAATACGTATTTCCCTCATTAAAATGCAAATCAATTTATAACATTTTTGACATGCGTTTTTCTAGATTTTTTTGTTGTTATCCTGTCTCTCACTGTTCAAATAAACCTACCATTAAAATTATAGACTGATCATTTTTTTGTCAGTGGGCAAACGTACAAAATCAGCAGGGGATCAAATACTTTTTTCCCTCACTGTATACAGTCTTCATCGCCGTCGTCACTATATAGTCAGCCAGCTATATAGTTGTATGTCGCCGACATCGCTGTATGGATGGCTAAGCTATAAGTCAGTCAACGCTTATGTTACTCTGTGATCCTATCGTTAAAGTATTAAGAAATAAATAAGAAACCCTCTACAGTCGTGTCTCTCAAGTCGTCTCAATACACTAGCACTACCCCCCCCCCCCCACCAAACTAGAGGTTAAAGGTGAGATTGACAATGGTCACCCGCCATGTAATGCCGATCACTGAGTCCCACACATTGGCCATGCCAAAATTCGAGAGCGCTCCGAATATTAAACTTGCATCGCATATTCAAGGCCGACGATCGAAACGATCGATGTCCCCAAGTGATGCTTTGAACACCAAGTGCAATCAATAATTTAGGTTATTTTACAATGCCCTCATATCCCATAAATTTCTTTCTCATAAATATCTTATGAAGACCACATCAGTATTTTATTGTACAAACTGAAGTGAAATGATCAATGTCCTTTCGTTTCTGCAAGCGATATTTGCTTTGCTACATGTCTTCTCGTTTGGAGAGTTGTTTCTTATGTACGTACGTCGAACTTCTTTTGCGCCGTACCTTGTCAACTGTGCTAATCGAACTGACTGCGCAATTAAATTACGCAGGCATTCGTGCTGTGATCAAGAGGACCAAAATGTCATGTTCGCACGCTGCAGCTCACAGCGAGGTCACCAGCCAGCCTTCCTTTTTTGCGCATCTCTATCTGATACGGTCGACCCAGAACAAGACCAATAAATAACAGTCATGAAAGATGCCAAATCGAAAAAAATACAAAAAATATATGCTTGAAAGAACCAATTATTGTATTGTTTTCATTTATTGTTTAATTCCCAAAGAGTTACATAATCAGTTATATCCGACCCACATTTGGTTTCAATATCCTATCAAAAAGTGGATAAATTACAAACGCAAGATTAAATGAGCAAGTAGGACGACCCTTGAAGACAAATTAAATATGTGCATTTACTTCCGAGCGACCCTCTTAATTCACCATCTCCTATCCTAGTTTTTCCAGTAATAATACATAAGGCTCAACAATAGTCACGGCTCTGGCACCTCAACTGGGGCAGAGCACAACTGTTATGGTTACCTCACAGGTTCATTGTCGGTCAGAATTTAACCATTACAAAGGTTTGGTAATAAAAAAAACAATATTCGATTTTTGCTGTACGTTTTGGTGATGTTTAAGTGTGATGGTGTAAATATCTATCTTCTCTTATTAGTATACATTATTATAGTAGTAATTTATTACAAAAATCATATTATTTCAGTCACCGATTACTCCGGAGATTGTTCATCAAGGGGGCACACGTAATAGACAACAAAAGAATAGTCGATTGAGATTTTTTGTTAATAGAATTGACCAATCCGCCCAGCTCTACAGCCAATAAACCTGCTACTTCAGGGCACTGCTTCCCTGACACCATGCCGACTCAATGAGTCACAACACCGCTTCCTTGAAAGCAGCTTTGTGTGCTGCCCAAGCGGTGGCTGGATTCCTGAATACGACACGGCAGCGTTGGCAGT